TTGGAATTATCGATGGGCAGTTTGTGTTAATTAACTCCAACGAAGGCCCTAGCTGACAGCCAATTATAGCCCAGCAGTGCCCCCTGACCCGAGCTGCTCCTCCTCCACCTCATGCTCCTCTACCTGCTCCTCCAGGCCTACGAGGAGCTGGAGGGTCTCCTCGGCACCAACAACATTTGTATCGCTGTCAAGGAGAAGTTGGTCAAGGACTCCGGGGTGGCTGAGGAGGTCGCTTATGATCTGATCGTCCAGCGTCTTCTGCAGAAACAGCGAGCGAGAGGTAGGTGTTGGGGGAGGTGTTGGGGGAGGTGTTGGGGAGGTGTTGGGGGTGTCGGGGGTGTTGGGAAGGTGTTGGGGGAGGTGTGGGGAACTAGGAACTAGGAAATAATTCAAGAGGGAGCAGTTAGGAAGAGTCGCCAAGGTGCTTCCTGCAACTTCAGGCAATTTGCGTAAGGAAGATAGTTTCTGTAGACACCTTTCTGAATGTTTTGTAAATATTAGTGATGGTTTGTGTGTGTGTGTGTGTGTGTGTGTGTGTGTGTGTGTGTGTGTGTGTGTGTGTGTGTGTGTGTGTGTGTGTGTGTGTGTGTGTGTGCGCGCGCGTGTGTACTCAGTTCTCTCGATTTGAAAATTCAAAAAAAAATCAAATTTTCCCTTAACCATAAACGTCCCAACCCTCGCAACCCACCTTACCCTCTCTAGGCCGAGGCAACCATAACGTCAATAATACGGTGCTTTACACTGATTAAAGCTTGGCATTTTACATTCAGTGGTCGATCCCTTGAAAAAGTATGCGATGTATGAGGTGAAAGGAAATCTGGAAAAAAGCTGAGCTTTAGGAAGTGAGGAATGATAACGATGCGAGAGGAGGAGGCCTGTGGAAGGGAGAGGAGTGAGGATGCTGAGGAGGAGCGAGGAGAGAGGTAGGAAGAGGAGGAGAGCGGAGGATGGGAGAGAGGAGGGGAGGAGGTGAGGAGAGGGTAGTGGAGATAGTGATGAGAGGAGCGGAGAGATCTGGGAGAAGGGGAGAGGATGAGGAGGAAGAAGGAGGGTGTGGCGTGTGTGTGTGTGGTGTTGTGTGTGTGTGCGTGGTGTGTGGTGAGGGACGGAGGAGTGACGCGACTGAGAGAGAGAGAGGGAGAGATGAAAATAGATGAGTTGAGAACCCAGAAGAGAGGAGAAGGGCGAGAGGAGAAGGAGAGGAGATTGAATGAGGAAGAGAGAGAGAGTAGAAAGTGGATAGAGAGAGAGAGAGACCGGAGAAGAGAGAGAGAGAGAGAGAGAGAGAGAGAGAGAGAGAGAGCGAGAGAGAGAGAGGGAGAGAGAGAGAGAGAGAGGAGAGAGGAGAGAGAGAGAGAGAGAGAGAGAGAGAGAGAGAAGAGAGAGAGAAGAGAGAGAGAGCGCGTGTTTTCTCTTTCTCTAACTTCAAATATATTTACTGAACGTGCTTCGAAATTTTGTTACAATTTCTGTTCCGTGTGCAGCAACAGCCTTTGATTTGGCCATGTTTTGTGCCTGCAGGATCGGGCATTAGCTCTTGGACCCGGCTTTTTTGCTAAGTCCGACTTATTGCAATAAGTTCCGCGTAATTCCTCCTGCAGTCTCCGTGGTGTAGTGGTAAGACACTCGCCTGGCGTTCCGCGAGCGCTTTGTCATGGGTTCGTATCCTGGCCGGGGAGGATTTACTGGGCGCAATTCCTTAACTGTAGCCTCTGTTTAACGCAACAGTAAAATGTGTACTTGGATGAAAAAACGATTCTTCGCGGCAGGGGATCGTATTCCAGGGACCATAGGATTAAGGACTTGCCCGAAACGCTACGCGTACTAGTGGCTGTACAAGAATGTAACAACTCTTGTATATATCTCAAAAAAAAAAAAAAGTAATCGATTTGTAGATGATTAACGATACTTTTTTTATAATTATATACACATAATTCAATGATTTGTGAGAATTTTTATTATTATACTCGTCCCCTCGTCCTCCCCACCATCCCTCACTCCCTCGTCCCCTCGTCCTCCCCACCATCCCTCACTCCCTCGTCCCCTCGTCCTCCCCACCATATCCCTCACTCCTATTCCCCATTTATATAGATTGAAGATTTATATAGAATGAAGATTTATATAGATTTATTTATATAGATTTGTTCATATAGATCAAAGCTGATGGTTTTGTTTTAATTACTCGGGTGTGATAATTTGTAATAATTGTTTAGGCATGATAGTGCAATAATCCCACAGTTGAGATAATCTGCGATAATCTCCCAGGTGTAATAATCTGCAATAATCCCCCAGGTGTGATAATCTGTGATAATCCTCCAGGTGTGATAATCTGTGATAATCCCCCAGGTGTGATCCCCCAGGTGTGATAATCTGCGATAATCCCCCAGGTGTAATCCCCCAGGTGTGATAATCTGCGATAATCCCCCAGGTGTAATCCCCAGGTGTGATAATCTGCGATAATCCCCCAGGTGTAATCCCCCAGGTGTGATAATCTGTGATAATCCTCCAGGTGTGATAATCTGTGATAATCCCCCAGGTGTAATCCTCCAGGTGTGATAATCTGCGATAATCCTCCAGGTGTAATCCCCCAGGTGTGATAATCTGTGATAATCCCCCAGGTGTAATCCCCCAGGTGTGATAATCTGCGATAATCTCCCAGGTGTAATCCCCCAGGTGTGATAATCTGCGATAATCTCCCAGGTGTAATCCCCCAGGTGTGATAATCTGCGATATTCCCCCAGGTGTGATAATCTTCGGGTCAGACCAGGAGGTGGCCGGGGTAATGAGGGCCGTCAGGAGGAACAACGCCACAGGTAATTTCACCTGGATTGGCTCTGACGGCTGGTCGGCCCGTTCACTCGTCTCCTCAGGTAAGTGGCTCCAGGTACTTCCCACCTGTGTGTGTACCTACTGACCTGTGGCTCCAGGTACTTCCCACCTGTGTGTTACTGCTATCTAAAGTGTTTCGGACAAAAACTTTGGACTAATTCAAGTGAAAAAATTATATAAGGATAGCACTTTTTCCCCCGGTACTTGCCTAGCTACCGGTAGTACTGTCTTGGTACTTCCTTCCTTACCGGAAGCACTGGCCCTTCCCCCATCCCCAGTACTTACCAGTAATTCCTTTTCCATATAGCCTCAGGTGACACACTCGCCAGTGGTACCCCGGTGGCGCATGTCCCAGTACTTACCGGTGATGTCACTTTCCCTTCCCCAGGTAATGAACCGGAGGTGGAGGGGACACTGTCGGTACAGCCCCAGGCCAACCCGGTAAGGGGGTTCGATGACTACTTCCTGTCACTGACGGTCGACAGTAACACAAGAAATCCCTGGTTTGTCGGTGAGTGTGAAGGCGGGTGTCTTGGAGTATGTCTGGGAGTCTGTTTATGATTGACAATGTTTACGTTCGTCCAAGAGATCCGGGTTGATATCCGGATTGAGTCTGTTTATTATTTACAATGTTTACATTCGTCCAAGAAATCCGGATTGAGTCTGTTTATGATTTACAATGTTTACATTCGTCCAAGAGATCCGGGTTGATATCCGGATTGAGTCTGTTTATGATTTACAATGTTTACGTTCGTCCAAGAAATCCGGATTGAAATCCGGATTGAAATCCGGATTTTTACCTTTGTTATTGTGTCTCAGTCTCTCTCTCCGTGTCTCCGTGTCTCCCCCCAGAGTACTGGGAGGACCACTTCAGGTGCCGGTACCCCAACAGCTCCAGGACCCCCTACAATGGGGGGTACTCCACGCTGTGTACTGGCAAGGAGGAACTCACCAGTGCTGACACCCAGTTCGAAGCTCAGCTCCAGTTCGTGTCTGATGCTGTCATGGCTTTTGGCTACGCTTTCAGGTACTGTGTTGGGGGGGGTGTGGGGGTGTATTCAGCTAGTTGTCCTTGCGGGGTGGTTGAGCTTTGGCTCCTTGGTCCCGCCTCTCAACCGTTAATCAACTCTGTGTATGTGTGTGTTGGGTACATCAGATATTTGTTATTGTTGTCACAAAATCGGCCAATACGTTACAAACACGACTGTATAATACACATTAAACCATCGTAATAGTGACGGTCGTCCTACATCTATCAATTCCAGGCCGCCCACGCCCACCTAGGGCAGTTGTTCAACTATTTACTCCCATACTAAATCCCATTCCAGTTACACTTGAAATTCAATTCTATTCCAATTCCAGTTGAATGCTGTTGAATGCACGAGCGGAGAGTTTAGAGAGTTCTGTAATGGGAATTGTTAGCGGTGGTAGTTAGCAGGGTAGTTAATAGGTGTGTTTTTGTGAGAGTTCTGGATAGAGGTAGAGATTGAGAGTGATTTAGATGAAGATGTTGTTTGATATAAACGGGGCCCAGCGAGGACAAGGTACAGCTCAAGATCATCATTAATTGTTTTATTTTTAATGTTTCTGCGTTGTTTCAAGCGTAGGGTAAACATGTGCATTGGTTTGGGTGGATATAAATAGGAGTTGCCTCGTATGGACCAATAGTAGCTGCCTCGTATGAACCAATAGGAGCTGCCTCGTATGAACCAATAGGAGCTGCCTCGTATGAACCAATAGGAGCTGCCTCGTATGGACCAATAGGAGCTGCCTCGTATGGACCAATAGGAGCGATCCATATTAGGCAGCTCCTATTGGTCCATATGAGGCAGCTGCTATTGGTCCATACGAGGCAGCTCCTATTGGTCCATACGAGGCAGCTCCTATTGGTCCATACGAGGCAGCTGCTATTGGTCCATACGAGGCAGCTCCTATTGGTCCATACGAGGCAGCTCCTATTGGTCCATACGAGGCAGCTCCTATTGGTCCATACGAGGCAGCTCCTATTGGTCCATACGAGGCAGCTCCTATTGGTCCATACGAGGCAGCTCCTATTGGTCCATACGAGGCAGCTTCTATTGGTCCATACGAGGCAGCTCCTATTGGTCCATACGAGGCAGCTCCTATTGGTCCATACGAGGCAGCTCCTATTGGTCCATACGAGGCAGCTGCTATTGGTTCATACGAGGCAGCTCCTATTGGTCCATACGAGGCAGCTCCTATTGGTCCATACGAGGCAGCTGCTATTGGTCCATACGAGGCAGCTCCTATTGGTCCATACGAGGGCAGCTCCTATTGGTCCATACGAGGCAGCTCCTATTGGTCCATACGAGGCAGCTCCTATTGGTCCATACGAGGCAGCTCCTATTGGTCCATACGAGGCAGCTCCTATTGGTCCATACGAGGCAGCTCCTATTGGTCCATACGAGGCAGCTCCTATTGGTCCATACGAGGCAGCTCCTATTGGTCCATACGAGGCAGCTCCTATTGGACCATACGAGGCAGCTGCTATTAAGAACATAAGAACATAAGAACAAAGGTAACTGCAGAAGGCCTATTGGCCCATACGAGGCAGCTCCTATTCTATAACCACCCAATCCCACTCATATACTTGTCCAACCCGTGCTTGAAACAATCGAGGGACCCCACCTCCACAATGTTACGCGGCAATTGGTTCCACAAATCAACAACCCTGTTACTGAATCACATAATATATAATAAATTATCAAATAAATTATTTTTTTTCGTACATGTTGAATATTTATACATAATACATTTATTCACAGATTTTGAACATGTATCCATGCATTTCGAACATGAATACATAGATTCCGAACATTTATGGATATATTTTGTGTTAATAGGCCTACTAATGATGAATTTGTGGTGTTCCATCAACAGAGACATGCACCTGGACCTGTGTAAGGGCAAGCCAGGCCTATGCCCGGAGATGAGGCCTATACAGGGCGAACAGCTGTTAGCCTACCTCAGGAAGGTTGTCTTTATTGGTGAGTCTGGGAGACGAGGGTAGTTGGGGGTCTAAATGAGAGCTAGTATTCATTTATCCGATCCAGACCCGACCATGTTGGTCACCATCCCTTCAGCAATCACCGTGCAAAGTTGGGTAAAGCTGACCGTAAACATCTGGTCTCCTACCCAGATCAAATAGTTATTTTATTTACTATACAAACCATGTACTTCCAATTAACTTATATTTTTTTATGAAGCAAATTTTGAATGTTTTTATTTGAAAATATATTTTCCCGTTTATTAATGATTGTTAGTCAAAATGTATATATATCCCCCTGAGTTGTATATTTTATTTTTAAACATTTATACATTTTATTTTATCCTGCAAAATACATTAGGTTGATGTATTATTATTTTATGGAAATTTTACCCGAGGTGAGAGAGTATTCTCTTAAAACATACACGGTGAGTTTCTCTGCTCCTGCTGTATGTTGTATGATGAAATATACACAACATTCAAAAAAAAATAAAATTTATTCAGAAATAATTTGGAAAAATCTGATCTATACTGACGTATTCTGAAGTATATTGACCAATACTGATGCCAGTGAAGTATACTGAAGCATGATGAAACATACTGACTATGCTGAGGAATACGTATTCTCAAGTTTCTACAGGCCTACAATGGCCAGTCTTCAGCCTCAGTATAGTTATACTGGCATACCTGGCCTCATACATACTATGTATATCTTGATGATTTGATTTGAATATGTATGCCGGTGGTATATTGTATTAAACTTATACATTGCCTCCCTGATCAATGGCTTTCATACAGGTCCCCTCCCTGTCTAGCTCGTTGTCCCCGTGGAGGGGTTTGGTGGACGACTGCCGGAGTGTGATGCTCCTTGGGGCGGTCCTCTGTCCTTTTGTAGCCTTGTGCTCCTGCTGCTGTCCTCTCTAATTCTGCTGGACACCTTTTCCTTTTGTTTCGTTTTTCTCCCGGCCTCTTCTCCTTTCTCATTGTCATTTCCCGCTGACCTTGTGCCTGTTTTGATCATTCTTTTGGCCTTCTTTTGTTTTGACGCCCGGGTGTTTGAGGAAGCATACTCTTGCGCCCGTAGAACTGTAGTACCCGACGTCGAGAGCGAGGGTAACCTTTTATTGTCAATCCTCCTTTCGTCGCTGAAACCGATCTCGACGGACTGTCGGTTCTTAAGGTGGCATTTGTGGGGCGTATACTCACGACGCACCCCTAGGAGGCTCCGGCATGATCGGCGATAGCTTCTTGTTGGGTGTCCTGCCTCTAATTGTTGCTCCATGGTGGGTGTGGGGGCACATTCGTGAATGAATGTTTTTCTTTTCGCACTCATGTCGAATTATGTTCCTGTTTTACCTTCTCAGGCTCGTGGGGTGGGCGACCAAGCCCCCGAGTCAGACTGTGTTGGAAGAGCGGGTTCTGTAGCCCCCGCTGCATTGGGCCCCGACCTTGCTCCTCCTTTGACCTTTCTGACTACTGCTCCTCGGCTCCCCTCCCTCCTCTGTGGTTGGGTCGAGCCCCAAGCCCCCAGTGGTGACCACCTCGTCTACTAGCACGGCTCAGTCTCTTGTTGTGACTACTGCGCCTTTTAACCTCTCTCTCTCTCTCTCTCGGGGTTTTCAACGCCGTCCTCGACACGGCCGCACTCGCTCGATTCCTTCCCGTACTAATGCGTATCAAGCCTTGTTTGGTCTCGCTTCGTGGGCCAAATACTTTGATATCCTCCCTCTTGATTCTGCCCCTCCTGACGGGTCCTTTAATCCGGTTCATCCAGTGGTTGTCGAGATCCAGCATTGGCTGTTTCTTGTTCACAGTAAATTGAAGTCAGTTGAGTTTTGTTGGGTTCCCAGCCATATTGGTGTGTCTTTAAATGGGCGTGCGGATGCTGCCGCCAGGGAAGCTGTCCGATCTTGTCCCGTCTTTCGTAAAGGTATTCCTTATTCCGACTTTTACCCGGTTATCCATTTCTCCATCCTTACCCGTTGGCAGGCTTGTTGGTCGTCTGTTACTGGTAACAAACTGCGTACTCTTAAGAGTTGTGTGTCCTCGTGGCCGTCCTCCTACCACCGTAACCGGCGATGGGAAACGGCTCTGGCGAGGTTGCGTATTGGCCATACTCGCTTAACTCACGGTCACTTGATGGAGCGCCGCCCTGCTCCTTATTGTCCTAATTGCATTGTACCTCTTACGGTCGTGCATATCCTTCTTGAATGTCCTGACTTCCGGGACGAGCGTGTCTTGTTTTCCGACCGTCCCTCGCGGTCACTTGTCCCTCGCGGTCACTTGTCCCTCGATAGTATTCTTGGTGACTCAGATACTTTTGATATCGTTCGCCTTATGCGTTTCTGTTCTCGTATTGGCATCCTTGGTGATATTTAGCGCCCTCTGATTATCCCGTACATTTGATGGTGCTACATAGCCTTCCCGGTTTGGTGCCTTCTTTTGATAATTACTTACTTTCATACAGGTGTATTAGTCTCCCTGACCCCATCCAACTAATTGTAATTAATAATTAGTTGAGTATTGAAACAAAAGGGAGCAGTCCTGTATGATTATACACCTCTTGACCCCTTCACACCCTTTCTCTCAGCTCTCCCCCTCTTCCCTCTCACTCTCTCACACTCTCACTCCACAGGCTTGAGCGGGGACCGGTTCAAGTTCGACCGACAGGGGGACGGGCCGGCCAGGTACAACATCATCCACTTCAAGCAGACCTCAGCTGGTCGCTATGACTGGGTGACGGTTGGGCAGTATGTGGAGGGGTTCCTCAAGCTTAATATGAGTGGTGAGTCAAGCTGGGGCTAAGCTGGGGGGGTCTTGTGGATGTTGTTGTTTAATGATAACAAAGGGATAAAGGGAGCCGGTCGGCCGAGCGGACAACACGCTGGGCTTGTGTTCCTGTGGTCCTGGGTTCGATCCCAGGTGCCGGCGAGAAACATTGGGTAGAGTTTCTTTCACCCTATGCCCCTGTTACCTAGCAGTAAAAATAGGTACCTGGGTGTTAGTCAGCTTTCACGGGTTGCTTCCTGGGGGTGGAGGCCTGGTCGAGGACCGGGCCGCGGGGACACTAAAGCCCCGAAATCATCTCAAGATAACCTGAAGATGATGAGATTGTGGTGGATTATAGCACTAGTATAGTGGAATTGTGAATATTCTCTCGATTGGAAATTCTCTCTCTCTCTCTCTCTCTCTCTCTCTCTCTCTCTCTCTCTCTCTCTCTCTCTCTCTCTCTCTCTCTCTCTTTCTCTCTCTCTCTCTCTACTAATTAGAGTTCTCAGCTCTACAGTTCAAGTGGGACTCGTCTGTTCCACCGTCAAGTGTGTGTTCACTCCCCTGTCACACTGGCCAGGCCAAGAAGTATGTGGAAGGGGAGTCTTGCTGCTGGCACTGTTTCAACTGTTCCACCTACCAGGTGAGGCACTGCTTCCCGTTTTCTTGTTTTTTTTCTGTTATTGAGTTACGTTTTCTTTGTTTTCCAGATAGTGAGTCCCATTTTCTTTGTAATTCCATATAATAAGGTCCGTTTTCTTTGTTTTTCCAGATAGTCAGTCCCATTTTCTTTGTTTTTCCAGATAGTGAGTCCCGTTTTCTTTGTTTTTCCAGATAGTGAGTCCCGTTTTCTCTGTTTTCCAGATAGTGAGTCCCGTTGACCCGACACAGTGCGTGACCTGTGACTGGGGGACGCTGCCCTCTGTTGATCACCTCTACTGCAAACCCATCCCTGAGGTGAGGTCACTCAGGCTGTGATGGCGAGCATGGGGCAGGGAGTGAACTTTTGTCGTAAACAGAGAATATTCTCAAATTATAACTTTGTTGTATTATAAATCTTGAGTTTAAAATAGACAGGGTCAGTAATATACTAGTTTTCTTTGAGAAGGTCAAAGTTTTCTTTAATGTCAAATTCTATGGGATACTCAGACAGTTTTTTAATTTCGTATTTCGCTTGTTTGGGGATAATACAGTGTTTTAACTTAACCTTACACCGTAACATGAACAATATGAACAATGTTCTTCTGATACTTTCACCTGTGCTTGTCTCATTCTCCTTGCGTCACGCATAGCATTGTGTCACGCACAGCATTGCGTCACGCGCCTTTGCGTCAAGCTCTTGACTCCCGCCACAGGTGTACATCAGACCTGACTCCTGGTGGGCGATCGGGGCGATGCTCTTCTCCTCTGTGGGCGTGGTGATGACGGGCGTGGTGGTGTGGGTGTTCGTCTGTCACAACGACACGCCCGTCGTCAGGGCCTCGGGGCGGGAGCTGTCGTACGTCCTCCTGTCCGGAGTCTTCCTCTGTTATGCTGTCACTTTTGTCTTCGTACTCAAGGTGGGTGGTGGACAGATGTGAGACAGTGCTCCTGTATGGCTGTCTGTGGGGTGGACAGGTGTGAGACAGTGCTCCTGTATGGCTGTCTGTGGGGTGGACAGATGTGAGACAGTGCTCCTGTATGGCTGTCTGTGGGGTGGACAGATGTGAGACAGTGCTCCTGTATGGCTGTCTGTGGGGTGGACAGGTGTGAGACAGTGCTCCTGTATGGCTGTCTGTGGGGTGGACAGGTGTGAGACAGTGCTCCTGTATGGCTGTCTGTGGGGTGGACAGATGTGAGACGGTGCTCCTGTATGGCTGTCTGTGGGGTGGACAGGTGTGAGACGGTGTGCGGCTCTGTGGGGGTGGTGGACAAATGATAATGTGACGGTATTTCTGTCAAGTTCAGTAATTATGGATATATTTAAAGCTAATCATAATTGACTTTCCCCGTCACCCATCTGTCTCTCTCCGTCACATAACTCCACCTTCTTCCTGTTGGTCTAAGACCTTTTTTCCTCCTGTTGACAGCCTTCAGCTGTGGTCTGCGGTGTTCAGAGGTTCGGCCTGGGCTTCTGCTTCGCCGTGGTGTACAGCGCCCTCCTCACCAAGACCAACCGGATATCCAGGATTTTCAACGCAGGGAAACGCACAGCCAAAAGACCTTCCTTCATATCGCCTCGCTCTCAGCTGTGTATCTGTCTGTGTACTGTGTCTGTGCAGGTGAGTTCCACGAAGAGAACGCGTAGTTATGCCAACAACAGTGTAGTGAACTCTGAGCAACTTTTCTGAACGTTTTGTGTGTGTTTCCTGATGATATTTTGTGTGGGGGGAAATTTGATGGTGTGATGAATTAACGATGAGGTGGTGATGCAGGTGGTGGTGACGGGCGTGTGGTGGGTGGTGAGTCCGCCCAGAGCGGTTCATCACTACCTCCTGAGGGAGGACAATTTCCTCGTCTGTGCCGCCTCCATCAATGCTTCCTACATGATCGCCTTCGCGTATCCTATTGGTAAGATATTGTGCTGGCTTGCTGGCTGGGGTGTGTAGCTCTCTCTCTCTCTCTCTCTCTCTCTCTCTCTCTCTCTCTCTCTCTCTCTCTCTCTCTCTCTCTCTCTCTCTCTCTCTCTCTCTCTCTCTCTCTCTCTCTCTCTGCCACCTTCAAACAACAGTTTCTCATGCTGTTTGTGTGTGAAATTGTTCTCACTGGTAACAGGGGAATTGCTAAAAATTAGGAAGACAGCTAGTATAGTCCCGATATACAAGAAAGGGGATAGACAGGAGGCACTGAACTACAGGCCAGTGTCCCTAACCTGCATACCATGCAAGTTGATGGAGAAGATTGTGCAAAGAAAGCTAGTGGAGCATCTGGAGCGATGGAACTTTGTAACACAGCATCAACATGGGTTCAGGGATGGCAGGTCCTGCCTCACAGGGTTACTTGAATTCTACGACCAGGCAACAAAAATAAGGCAAGAAAGAGACGGGTGGGCAGACTGCATATTTTTGGATTGTCAGAAAGCCTTTGATACAGTGCCACACTAGAGGCTAGTGAAAAGGTAAGACCCACTGCTGTTTTCAGTAATTGGCATTTTTTCGGTATAAAAAGTCGTAATTTAAAAATGAAAATGGGTACAGAGAGTCAGAATTCGGCTCAAAAATCACGCTCAGGAGTTAAATTTCCGACATTTCAGATATTTTGAAAACTTCAGGAGGGTTTGAGCAAAATATGACCTATCGCCGTTTTAAGTAATTGGCATATTTTCGGTATAAAAAGTTGTATTTTGAAAATGAAAATAGGTGCAGAGAGTCAGAATTCGGCTCAAAAATCACGCACAGTAGTCAAATTTCCGACATTTCAGATATTTTGAAAACTGCAGGTGGGTTTGGGCAAAATATGATACATAGCAGTTTTCAGTAATTGGATATATTTGGTATAAAAAGTCGTAATTTGAAAATGAAAATAGGTGCAGAGAGTCAGAATTTGGCTCGAAAATCGCACTAAGGAGTCAAATTTCCGACATTTCAAATATTTTGAAAACTGCAGGGGGGTTTGGGTACAATAGGTACTCCATTGGATAAGGGAGTACCTAAGTAACAGAAGGCAGCGAGTCAGTGTGAGGGAGCCGGCCGGTAGGGAGCCGGTCGGCCGAGCGGACAGCACGCTGCACTTGTGATTCTGTGGTCCCAGGTTCGATCCCGGGCGCCGGCGAAAAACAATGGGCAGAGTTTTTTTTCACCCTATGCCCCTGTTACTAGCAGTAAAATAGGTACCTGGGTGTTAGTCAGCTGTCACGGGCTGCTTCCTGGGGGGTGGAGGCCTGGTCGAGGACCGGGCCGCGGGGATACTAAAGCCCCGAAATCATCTCAAGATAAATTCAAGATAGAGGGGTGAGGTCTCAGATTAGCGAGACGTTACAAGTGGAGTCCCGCAGGGGTCAGTCCTTGGACCTATACTGTTTCTGATATATGTAAATGATCTCCCAGAGGGTATAGATTCGTTCCTCTTCATGTTTGCCGACGATGCAAAAATTATGAGGAGGATTGAAACAGAGGATTATAGTAGGAGGCTACAAGATGACCTAGACAGACTGAATGAATGGTCCAACAAAGGGCTACTAAAGTTCAACTCGAGTAAATGCAAGGTCATGAAATTAGGCAGTGGAAACAGGAGGCCAGACACAGGATACAGAATAGGAGATGAAGTTCTTCATGAAACAGACAGAGAGAAAGATCTTGGAGTTGATATCACACCAAACCTGTCTCCTGAAGCCCACATAAAGAGAATAACGTCTGCGGCATATGCGAGGCTGGCTAACATCAGAACGGCGTTCAGGAACCTGTGTGTAAGGAATCATTCAGAATCTTGTACACCACATATGTAAGACCAATCCTGGAGTATGCGGCCCCAGCATGGAGCCCGTACCTTGTCAAGCACAAGACGAAGCTGGAAAAAGTTCAGAGGTATGCCACTAGTCTAGTCCCAGAACTAAGAGGCATGAGTTAAGAGGAAAGGCTGCGTGAAATGCACCTTACGACACTGGAAGACAGAAGAGTAAGGGGAGACATGATCACCACATAAAAAAAAAGATATTGATAGGGTTGATAAGGATAAACTATTCAACACTGGTGGTACGCGAACAAGGGGACACAGGTGGAAACTGAGTACCCACATGAGCCACAGAGACGTTAGAAGGAACTTTTTCAGTGTCAGAGTAGTTAACGGATGGAATGCATTAGGCAGTGATGTGGTGGAGGCTGACTCCATACACAGTTTATAATGTAGATATGATAAGCCCAATAGGCTCAGGAACCTGTACACCAGTTGATTGACAGTTGAGAGGCGGGACCAAAGAGCCAGAGCTCAACCCCCGCAAGCACAACTACGTGAGTACACACATGCATTTCGATTTCGTTAAATGTTTTGAAAATAAAAAGACTGATGATCTTTCAACAAGTTTATGAGAAAATGAATATAAAAAATGGAATTTTGGTTCATTCCCCCCCCCCGTCCCCTTACCCCACCCACCTGTCCCACCTGCCTCACCCCACCTGTCCCACCTCACCTGCCTCACCCCACCTGTCCCACCCCACCTGTCCCACCTCACCTGTCCCACCTCACCTGCCTCACCCCACCTGTCCCACCCCACCTGTCCCACCTCACCTGTCCCACCTGCCTCACCCCACCTGTCCCACCTCACCTGTCCCACCCCACCTGTCCCACCCCACCTGTCCCACCTCACCTGTCCCACCTGCTGAAGGCGCTCTACTACCCCCCGCAGGACTGATCGTAGTGTGTACCATCTACGCCGTCCTGACCCGCAAGATCCCGGAGGCCTTCAACGAGAGCAAGTACATCGGCTTCACCATGTACACGACGTGTATCATCTGGCTGGCCTTCGTCCCCATATACTTCTCCACCGCCAACAACGTCGAGGTGAGCTGCCCTCCTCTTACCTTCCCCTTCTCTCTCTCTCTCTCACTCTTAACAACTACCTGTGGCTCTAACTACCGCTCTTAACTACCCCCTGCAGCTGCGAATCACCACTACCTCCGTAACCATCTCGCTGTCAGCGACGGTGGCGCTAGTCTGTCTCTTCACGCCGAAGTTGTACATCATCCTCCTCCATCCAGAGAGGAACGTCCGACAGTCCATGATGCCCGCGGCTAAGTGTTCCGCTCTAAGGAATAATCTCTCGTCGTCGTCCCAGCGGGTCGACTCCGGCACCCAGAGTGAGGGTACGGTGCTGGGGTGGGTGGGAGGGGGGGTAGGTGGGACGGGGAGGTGACCTATCCTGTGTAGGATAGGTCAACTCTCATCTCAGGCGTGTTCATTCGTCTTATCTTTTGGTTTAGTTTAGTCTGTGCTTGCTTTTTTGTCGTTTTCTATGTCACGCCTGTTAGTGTGTGTGTGTATATATGTGTGGAAAATATATTAAAAATATTCTTGAATTAATGTTCTAATTTAGTTTTGCCTTTCTCTGCTCTCTCTCTCTCTCTCTCTCTCTCTCTCTCTCTCTCTCTCTCTCTCTCTCTCTCTCTCTCTCTCTCTCTCTCTCTCTCTCTCTCTCTCTCTCTCTCTCTCTCTCTCCCCAGCAGTCATCTTCCCCGTGGACTACGAGCTTCACGAGAAACTGCGACACATGGGATGCGTTAGTCACCCTCGATCATCGAGTGCCACTCAGACCTGTCCCTCCACCTGCCTGCCTGATCACCGGTGTGGTGCCACACTCACACTGGCACCTTCAGCTGGCACCCCTGCCTCTAATGGCCCTCTGCAGGATGTTCCTGATGTCCAGCTGTAAATAGGAGCAGGATAAAAAAGTTTCTGTTTTAGGTCGTCCGCTTGGAGTCCTAGTGGGTCGAGTGGGGCGTCTGGTTGATGATGTTTTTTTTACCATGTCGTGGACGGGTTGGTTAGGGGGTGTGTGTGTGTGGGGATAAGAAGTGCATGGGTTCGAACCCTAAATAGGGCTCTTATGGGTTTTTTATCATCTTACTCCCAGCTTGGAATATTTTTTTTTCAAGTTTGGAATTTTTTTTTAGATTTTCGGCTCGGAATGATATTGCTGAATACACACACACACACACACACACACACACACACACACACACACACACACACACACACACACACACACACACACACACACACACACACACACACACACACACACACACACACACACACGCTCTCACACACACACGCTCACACACACACACACACACACACACACACACACACACACACACACACACACACACACACACACACACACACACACACCCTCCCACACACACACACGCTCACACACACACACTCACGCTCACACACACACACACACACACACACACACACACACACACACACACACACACACACACACACACACACACACACACACCCTCCCACACACACACACACACACACACACACACACACACACACACACACACACACACACACACACACACACACACACACACACACACACGCTCACACACACACACACACACACACACACACACACACACACACACGCTCACACACACACACTCACGCTCACACACACACACACACACACACACACACACACACACACACACACACACACACACACACACACACACGCTCACACACACACACTCACACACATTACAGGCTTGAACTACAGGCCAGTGTCCTTAACTTGTATACCATGCAAGGTGATGGAGAAGATTGTGAGAAAAAACCTAGTGACACATCTGGAGAGAAGAGACTTCGTGACAACCCATCAACATGGGTTCAGGGAGGGTAAATCTTGCCTTACAGACTTGATAGAATTCTACGATCAGGTGACAAAGATTAAACAAGAAAGAGAAGGATGGGCGGACTGCATTTTTTTTTTTGGACTGTCGGAAAGCCTTTGACACAGTACCCCATAAAAGGTTGATGCATAAGCTGGAGAAACAGGCAGGAGTAACTGGTAGGGCGCTCCAGTGGATAAAGGAGTACCTAAGCAATAGGAAGCAGAGAGTTACAGTGAGGGGTGAGACCTCAGAATGGCGTGAAGTCACCAGTGGAGTCCCACAGGGCTCTGTACTTGGACCTATCCTGTTTCTGATATACGTAAATGATCTCCCAGAGGGTATAGACTCATTCCTCTCAATATTTGCTGACGACGCCAAAATTATGAGAAGGATTAAGACAGAGGAGGACAGCTTGAGGCTTCAAGAAGACCTGGACAAGCTGCAGGAATGGTCGAACAAATGGGTGTTAGAGTTTAACCCAACCAAATGTAATGTAATGAAGATAAGTGTAGGGAGCAGGAGGCCAGATACAAGGTATCATTTGGGAGATGAAATACTTCAAGAGTCAGAGAGAAAGACCTGGGGGTTGATATCACGCCAGACCTGTCCCCTGAAGCTCATATCAAGAGGATAACATCAGCGCAATATGCCAAGCTGGCTAACATAAGAACGGATATATATATATATATATATATATATATATATATATATATATATATATATATATATATATATATATATATATATATATATATATATATATATATATATATATTGTACCTTATAGGCCAAGTTGCCTAACAAGCCGAATTTGTTTGAAATATAATTTTCACAATTATTTTCTTATGGAATGAAACGCTTAGTATTACGTTATATATATTTTAAAGTTTAAACCAACATAGAAACTTGATCTAACCAATCCTAGCCCAACGTGTCTAACCAATCCTAGCCCAACGTGTCTAACCAATCCTAGCCCAACGTGTCTAACCAATCCTAACCCAACATGTCTAACCAATCCTAGCCCAACGTGTCTAACCAATCCTAGCCCAACGTGTCTAACCAATCCTAGCCCAACATGTCTAACCAATCCTAGCCCAACGTGTCTAACCAATCCTAGCCCAACGTGTCTAACCAATCCTAGCCCAACGTATCTAACCAATCCTAACCCAACATGTCTAACCAATCCTAGCCCAACGTGTCTAACCAATCCTAGCCCAACGTGTCTAACCAATCCTAGCCCAACGTATCTAACCAATCCTAACCCAACATGTCTAACCAATCCTAGCCCAACGTGTCTAACCAATCCTAGCCCAACGTGTCTAACCAATCCTAGCCCAACGTATCTAACCAATCCTAACCCAACATGTCTAACCAATCCTAGCCCAACGTGTCTAACCAATCCTAGCCCAACGTGTCTAACCAATCCTAGCCCAACGTATCTAACCAATCCTAACCCAACATGTCTAACCAATCCTAGCCCAACGTGTCTAACCAATCCTAGCCCAACGTGTCTAACCAATCCTAGCCCAACGTATCTAACCAATCCTAACCCAACGTGTCTAACAACCATACAAGGTGACCACTGTACCAACCATACACAGTGACCACTGTACCAACCATACAAGGTGACCACTGTACAAACCATACAAGGTGACCACTGTACCAACCATACACAGTGACCACTGTACCAACCATACACAGTGACCACTATACCAACCATACACAGTGACCACTGTACCAACCATACAAGGTGACCACTGTACAAACCATACAAGGTGACCACTGTACCAACCATACACAGTGACCACTGTACCAACCATACAAGGTGACCACTGTACAAACCATACAAGGTGTCCACTATACCAACCATACACAGTGACCACTGTACCAACCATACAAGGTGACCACTGTACAAACCATACAAGGTGACCACTGTACCAACCATACACAGTGTCCACTGTACCAACCATACAAGGTGACCACTGTACCAACCATACACAGTGACCACTGTACCAACCATACACAGTGACCACTATACCAACCATACAAGGTGACCACTGTACCAACCATACAAGGTGACCACTATACCAACCATACAAGGTGACCACTGTACCAACCATACACAGTGACCACTGTACCAACCATACAAGGTGACCACTGTACCAACCATACAAGGTGTCCACTGTACAAACCATACAAGGTGTCCACTGTACCAACCATACAAGGTGTCCACTGTACCAACCATACAAGGTGACCACTGTACCAACCATACAAGGTGACCACTGTACCAACCATACAAGGTGTCCACTGTACCAACCATACAAGGTGACCACTGTACCAACCATACAAGGTGTCCACTGTACAAACCATACAAGGTGTCCACTGTACCAACCATACAAGGTGTCCACTGTACCAACCATACAAGGTGACCACTGTACCAACCATACAAGGTGACCACTGTACAAACCATACAAGGTGTCCACTGTACCAACCATACAAGGTGTCCACTGTACCAACCATACAAGGTGACCACTGTACCAACCATACAAGGTGTCCACTATACCAACCATACAAGGTGTCCACTGTACCAACCATACAAGGTGACCACTGTACCAACCATACACAGTGACCACTGTACCAACCATACACAGTGACCACTGTACCAACCATACAAGGTGTCCACTGTACCAACCATACAAGGTGTCCACTGTACCAACCATACAAGGTGACCACTGTACCAACCATACAAGGTGTCCACTGTACCAACCATACAAGGTGTCCACTATACCAACCATACAAGGTGTCCACTGTACCAACCATACAAGGTGACCACTGTACCAACCATACAAGGTGACCACTGTACCAACCATACACAGTGACCACTGTACCAACCATACACAGTGACCACTGTACCAACCATACAAGGTGTCCACTGTACCAACCATACAAGGTGACCACTGTACCAACCATACAAGGTGTCCACTATACCAACCATACAAGGTGTCCACTGTACCAACCATACAAGGTGACCACTGTACCAACCATACAAGGTGTCCACTATACCAACCATACAAGGTGACCACTGTACCAACCATACAAGGTGACCACTGTACCAACCATACAAGGTGTCCACTATACCAACCATACAAGGTGACCACTGTACCAACCATACAAGGTGACCACTGTACCAACCATACAAGGTGACCACTGTACCAACCATACAAGGTGACCACTGTACCAACCATACAAGGTGACCACTGTACCAACCATACAAGGTGACCACTATACCAACCATACAAGGTGACCACTGTACCAACCATACAAGGTGACCACTGTACCAACCATACACAGTGACCACTGTACCAACCATACAAGGTGACCACTGTACCAACCATACAAGGTGACCACTGTACCAACCATACAAGGTGTCCACTGTACCAACCATACAAGGTGACCACTGTACCAACCATACAAGGTGTCCACTATACCAACCATACAAGGTGTCCACTGTACCAACCATACAAGGTGACCACTGTACCAACCATACAAGGTGTCCACTGTACCAACCATACAAGGTGACCACTGTACCAACCATACAAGGTGTCCACTATACCAACCATACAAGGTGTCCACTGTACCAACCATACAAGGTGACCACTGTACCAACCATACAAGGTGTCCACTGTACCAACCATACAAGGTGACCACTGTACCAACCATACAAGGTGTCCACTATACCAACCATACAAGGTGTCCACTGTACCAACCATACAAGGTGACCACTGTACCAACCATACAAGGTGTCCACTATACCAACCATACAAGGTGACCACTGTACCAACCATACAAGGTGACCACTGTACCAACCATACAAGGTGTCCACTGTACCAACCATACAAGGTGACCACTGTACCAACCATACACAGTGACCACTGTACCAACCATACAAGGTGACCACTGTACCAACCATACAAGGTGACCACTGTACCAACCATACAAGGTGACCACTGTACCAACCATACAAGGTGACCACTGTACCAACCATACACAGTGTCCACTGTTCCAACCATACAAGGTGACCACTGTACCAACCATACAAGGTGTCCACTGTACCAACCATACACAGTGACCACTGTACCAACTATACAAGGTGACCACTGTACCAACCATACAAGGTGACCACTGTACCAACCATACAAGGTGTCCACTGTACCAACCATACAAGGTGACCACTGTACCAACCATACAAGGTGTCCACTGTACCAACCATACAAGGTGACCACTGTACCAACCATACAAGGT